TGTACTATCGTATTATTTTTTTTCATGCTTATTGTCCGGATCTCAGATTCGAACTGAATCAGTTTTTTTTTATTTTTCGATAATATCGAATCGAACTCCACCCTTGAAAATTTAAAAAAAAACTAGACATCCATAATTCTCGCCGTCACGATTATTTCAACCTTTTTCAACCGGTTTACCCGATTTCAGATTATACGGATGATCCGGGTGACAATTTTATATCCGGTTCGGAACTCTAATAAAAATTACTTTGAAAAGTGGCATATCTTTAGAGGATGGAAGCACGGGTGTAAGGTTTGCGACGAATGCAATCATCATTCACACCTCTATTGCAAAACATGCAAAAAAGTAATGGATGGAATATATAAGCGATGTGAATGTGAATTTCTAAGAAACAAAACTTCGAGGACCAGCTAGCGATTTTGTGTCAGTATAATTTAATATTCACATGTGATATTGAACTCCCTGGGTGTTACCAACTAAAAAATTTCGACAGCCAACTAGAATGCATAAATTTTTTTACATGGTAGGTAACCATCCACATGGCAATATCCATTTTGAGGAAAAGAAACATAAAACACGAATTCTTTATATGTCGAAAATTCAACGCGTCTCTTCGATTTTTATAAAAGGACCAGAGAGTAAGTTGACCTATACTATTCATTGTATTTTTTTCAGTTTTTCATTAACTACCCATAATTTTCACTTAACGCTATGTCGATTACATTTCTTTGTCTTGTCCGAGGAGAGCCAATTACACGAGCTTTTGCTATTGATATCGATAATAACATGTTAATTAGCTATCTCAAGAAAGTCATTAAATCAGAACTTCACCCACAATTTGATAATGTAATACCTAAAGACATTAAATTGTGGAAGGTCGAAATTCGTGACAATAATATTGGCGCATTATCTAACCTTTCCTTACATGATAATGATGAAATTCTCCCAACTCGAAAAGTTAAAGAATATTGGCCCAATGCTCCAGAAAAAGAACACATTCATATCATAGTTTCTTTATCTACATCCTTTAATCTAAGCACCAGATATTTTGAAATATTTTCATATAAAATATGGTCGCTTGAACATTTTGTTGTCAGCAGCATTTATAGCAATAATTCCATAGTAGACAAGGACAACACACACCGCGCATTTTATAAAATATTAGATAATATTTCCAATAATCAAACAATTCAGCAGGAGGTTCGTGATCACGCAAAAAGACTTTTGCAAACGAAAGCGGTAAGTCAATTTACATAAAAAAGAAGTTGGAATATGCTTTTATCGAAATTCTTGCAACCACTTGTTGGCTACGTCCTGACAGGGGTGAGTTGTATCCTCAGCAAGTAATTCTTGCATCCACTTGTTGGCTACGTCCTGACAAGGGAGAGTATACTCTCGGCAAGTTTTCATTAGAAAAGTGTTTTCTTTGATAAAAGTCTACTGATTTTGGAGGTGGAATCAGTTATATATCTTTCTTCATATTCTAACTTAATTTATGCTTGAATTACTAAGAATATTTTTTCTCACATGTTTTTACCTTTCTTGTAAAGATTGATACCAGAAATGTTAGTGCCATATGGAATGCCAAAGTTCAAACAACATTGGGAGATTTGACCGATTACCAACAATTACTTTCATCGTCGTCTTCACCTTTATCATTGCCTTCACCTTTATCGTCGTCTTCACCTTTATTGTCGTCGTCTTCACCTTTATCGTTGTCGTCTTCACCTTTATCGTCATCTGAATTACACGAAATACAAAGTCTTCAACCTATGAATAAAAAACGAAATATTAAGGAAGACGAAAATTCTTTACCGAAAAAGAAACAATGTATAACTACATATATGAATTGTTTCTTCCCTGAAGTAGATCTACCTTTATGGGCCAACAAATCTATAAACATTCTCGAAATGTTAAAATTGGTTGCATCTATCTTCGACAAAAATACAATCACATTGGGCTCAACCTGTTCTTACAAACAATCGAACCATTTGCGCGTAGAATCTGAGTGCAATGTAAGGGTTGCTAGGGAGAGTGTTTATGATGCTGAAATGTACTGGGTTTTATTAAATTGGTTCACGAAGGTATATAACTATGAAGTCACTGGTCAGTGGCATCTTGAAGATATCTATGATGATGGAGACTGGCATCATCGTTATTGCAATCTATCTATAAAAAAACCTGATGATCCCAATCCTTTGGCTCTACTTGAGCTTGTTGCAACAGCCTCTATCCCAAAACTAAAAAAACATTTCGATCAGGTAAACTTGATGATCCCAATCCTTTAGCTCCACTTGAACTTGTTGCAACAATCTCTATCTCAAACTAAAAAACATTTCAATTAGGTGTTTCAGTATGCCAAAAAACTTCGCCCGTTAGAGGTTTGGGTTGTACACTTCTCTCAGGAAGATACTATTACAACAAATCCATACTGGCCTTCCAATGAGCTACAGAAAAAAGGTCTGAATGTCATCCATTTCTAGCATGATAGAGAATTTAAAATGTTCGGATGAGTGCAAAATCTTAAGATGCTACTGGTAAATTTTTTGAAATAATAGATAAGCAAATCCTTCCTTAACTTGTTTTTTGTGTATAATAAAGCTAGATCTGGTGGCTAATTTCGCATACATAATCGGTTTATTTTTACATGTGTATTTCGTGAATTTATTTATTGTATTGATATCAATGTCTATTAACTTGCATATGATCGAGAATTTTTAAAAATTTTCTTGGCATTAGTGTTACAAATTGTAATGCACATGTGACTTTTTATCTCTATGATGAATTGAATATATCCATATTTTTATAAAATATAAAAAATGACAAACAAACAATCCAAAGTTGATTCATTAGAAGAACGAATTTTCAAGCTTGTAGCTGAGAATGACATACTTAGACAGGAAAACACTGAGATTAAGTCTGAGAATATCGAACTTAAAACTGAGAATGCAAAATTAAAACAGGCTTTGAAAGAACATGAATCCAGATTTATGAAACTGGAGCAAAATGATAAAGATACTGCTTCGGAAAATACCAAACTTAAAGTTAGAGTTACGAAATTAGAACAGAAGCAGTTACAAAATGAAGAAAAGAATAACCATATTGCTAAATTGGATGATGATACCATAGAAGTCAACCAATCTTCAATTAATGTCACCTCCATTGAAACGAAAAATTCTAATGATACTCCTATATCTGATGTATCTGATAATGTTTTTTTAGAAACTAAATCTTTTGAAGATAAAGAGATTGAATTTCTGGAATAGGTACATAAAGAACAGATTAGAAATGAGATTAAAGAAAGAAAACTGGAAAAAAAGCTATTACAAAATAATGAAACATCTTATCAAGACTCTTTTTCATATAATAAAGATAATTTATCAAAGCAGTCCAATTCATCATGTGAATAAAAACCGTTACCAATGGTAACGATCAGAACTTGGAATTGGCATCCTATACAAAAACTGTTAATATTAATAGTGCAGAATTATATTCTTCTGATTCATCTGATGAAGTATCGGAACTTGATAGAAATCAAATTACCGAACAAATTTTAAAGCAAGATTTTATTAAATCTACTGTTATAGCAAAATCTAATGGGATAGATAATGAACTCTCTTTGGAGAAAACAATTGAAGGTTCTATGCAATGTTTGGCTTATTGGTTTGAAAAAGCTATCAAATCCGGTATAAAAGAAATATTATATTGGTATACTTATTCTCTTGAAACTGAAAATAAAGTTAAAAATATGTCAGCAGATAGAAAAATAAAAGAGAAGACAGCAAGATCAATGATATATAAAGAAATGCTAAAATATCTACCTAATGTTACTCCAGGTAATTTGCGAATTCGAACTAATAGAGCTAAAA